CCCCCCGGGGGCATGACACCCTTTCAAGGGAAAAATTCAGCTATTTGGGGGCCAAAGGTCATTTTCGTTCCCCAGTATTTAAGGGTTGTCTACCCGGTTGGGGGGTGCTGCCCAAAGTAGCCCAAGCTGTTGTTTGAGGTCCTGCCCAGGCCCACCTGATTGCTGTGCTGCTGGGGCTGGTTGTAGTTTCCTCACGTGCTGGTGAAGAAGCTACTCATATCGACTGCAGGATGAGGCACCCGTGTGGTGGAGCTCCCACTGCTCCTACCACCCAAACCCCCTCCCTGCTGCCAGGGCGCAAACGGGGCGAAAAAGGGGCCAAGTGTCTGAGGATGGGTTGGGCAGAAAGGCAGAGCCCAGGAATATAGGGGTTTTTAAAGTACTTTTTTTTGGGCCCCCCCTCTCGCAGGTGTGAAAAAGGCCACCTTTTTTTGAACGGTAGGGGTCCAAAAAGGTGGACACCCAAAAGTATCCCTCTGTTGATGGTTATTTTTCGGCGTCGCACGCAAGCAACCGACCCCATGTAGGGGCCCCTTTTGTCCCAAAGGGAAATGCGGGGACTTCCTCCCTCCATCTCCAAGCGTACTCCCCGGGTGCTGTGCAACGAGGAATGACGTCGTTCATCCATAGTCCTGCCGACTCACGAATAGCGTGGCCTCCTCAAAGGGCCTGAGCATAGCGGGCAGTGTCACGCATGAGCTGCCAATGGCTGGACATCTAAGTTACACAGGGGGAGTGGTCTCCTTTATCCGCTTGTAACATCAGGAAATCTGTGATGGCCTTTCGCTGTTCGTAAAGGCGGTCTAACATATGTAGGGTTGAATTCCCACCTTGTTGCAATGTCACAGCATGAGGAGTCGGTACGGGGGCCCATGGCACCTGAAAGTGGCACATGGCAGAGTGTGGCGATGGAGACAGCAGCAATGGGAGGCCGTACAGGGACCCATGAGAGACTCTGGACCTGGCAGCAGCATGAGGAGGCGGTACAGGGGGGCCCATGGCAGATTACGGGCCTGGCAGCAGCCAATGGGAGGCCCGTAATCTGCCAGCACCCTATGACAAAAAATGGAACACACCAGCAGTGTGAGGAGACCTGAAAGTGGCACATGGCAGAGTGTGGCGATGGAGACAGCAGCAATGGGAGGCCGTACAGGGACCATGAGAGACTCTGGACCTGGCAGCAGCATGAGGAGGCGGTACAGGGGCCCATGGCAGATTACGGGCCTGGCAGCAGCAATGGGAGGCCCGTAATCTGCCAGCACCCTATGACAAAAAATGGAACACACCAGCAGTGTGTGAGGAGACCTGAAAGTGGCACATGGCAGAGTGTGGCGATGGAGACAGCAGCAATGGGAGGCCGTACAGGGACCCATGAGAGACTCTGGACCTGGCAGCAGCATGAGGAGGCGGTACAGGGGCCCATGGCAGATTACGGGCCTGGCAGCAGCAATGGGAGGCCCGTAATCTGCCAGCACCCTATGACAAAAAAATGAAACACACCAGCAGTGTGAGGAGACCTGAAAGTGGCACATGGCAGAGTGTGGCGATGGAGACAGCAGCAATGGGAGGCCGTACAGGGACCCATGAGAGACTCTGGACCTGGCAGCAGCATGAGGAGGCGGTACAGGGGGCCCATGGCAGATTACGGGCCTGGCAGCAGCAATGGGAGGCCCGTAATCTGCCAGCACCCTATGACAAAAAATGGAACACACCAGCAGTGTGAGGAGACCTGAAAGTGGCACATGGCAGAGTGTGGGCGATGGGAGACAGCAGCAATGGGAGGCCGTACAGGGACCCATGAGAGACTCTGGACCTGGCAGCAGCATGAGGAGGCGGTACAGGGGCCCATGGCAGATTACGGGCCTGGCAGCAGCAATGGGAGGCCCGTAATCTGCCAGCACCCTATGACAAAAAATGGAACACACCAGCAGTGTGAGGAGACCCTGAAAGTGGCACATGGCAGAGTGTGGCGATGGAGACAGCAGCAATGGGAGGCCGTACAGGGACCCATGAGAGACACTCTGGACCTGGCAGCAGCATGAGGAGGCGGGTACGGGGGCCCATGGCAGATTACGGGCCTGGCAGCAGCAATGGGAGGCCCGTAATCTGCCAGCCACACCCTATGACAAAAAATGGAACACACCAGCAGTGTGAGGAGACCTGAAAGTGGCACATGGCAGAGTGTGTGGCGATGGAGACAGCAGCAATGGGAGGCCGTACAGGGACCCATGAGAGACTCTGGACCTGGCAAGCAGCATGAGGAGGCGGTACGGGGGCCCATGGCAGATTACGGGCCTGGCAGCAGCAATGGGAGGCCCGTAATCTGCCAGCACCCTATGACAAAAAATGGAACACACCAGCAGTGTGAGGAGACCTGAAAGTGGCACATGGCAGAGTGTGGCGATGGAGACAGCAGCAATGGGAGGCCGTACAGGGACCCATGAGAGACTCTGGACCTGGCAGCAGCATGAGGAGGCGGTACAGGGGGGGCCCATGGCAGATTACGGGCCTGGCAGCAGCAATGGGAGGCCCGTAATCTGCCAGCACACCTATGACAAAAAAATGGAACACACAGCAGTGTGGAGGAGACCTGAAAGTGGCACATGGCAGAGTGTGGCGATGGAGACAGCAGCAATGGGAGGCCGTACAGGGACCCATGAGAGACTCTGGACCTGGCAGCAGCATGAGGAGGCGGTACAGGGGCCATGGCAGATTACGGGCCCTGGCAGCAGCAATGGGAGGCCCGTAATCTGCCAGCACCCTATGACAAAAAAATGGAACACACCAGCAGTGTGAGGAGACCTGAAAGTGGCACATGGCAGAGTGTGGCGATGGAGACAGCAGCAATGGGAGGGCCGTACAGGGACCCATGAGAGACTCTGGACCTGGCAGCAGCATGAGGAGGCGGTACAGGGGCCCATGGCAGATTACGGGGCCTGGCAGCAGCAATGGGAGGCCCGTAATCTGCCAGCACCCTATGACAAAAAAATGGAACAGGAGACCCAGCAGTGTGAGGAGACCTGAAAGTGGCACATGGCAGAGTGTGGACGATGGAGACAGCAGCAATGGGAGGGGCCGTACAGGGACCCATGAGACCAGACTCTGGACCTGGGCAGCAGCAATGAGGAGGCGGTACAGGGGCCCATGGCAGATTACGGGCCTGGCAGCAGCAGGGAGGCCCGTAATCTGCCAGCCGCACTATATGACACAGCGCTCCGATTGCCAACAGCAACCACCAGCAGGCCGGAGCACATGGCAAAAATGTGTGGCACCTGGAGACAGTGGGAGGCCGTACAGGGACAAAGAGACTCTGGAGAGTTTTAGCATGAGGAGGCGGTGGTACGGGGACAGCCCATGGCAGATGTGTACAAGGGCCTGGGCAGCAGCAATGAGAGGCCCGTAATGGGACCTGCAGCACCCATGGATGACAAAATGGGAACACACCAGCAGTGTGAGGAGACCTGAAAGTGGCACATGGCAGATTGTGGCGATGGGACAGCAGCAATGGGAGGCCGTAATCAGGCACCCTATGACCGCTCTGGACCTGGCAGCAGCATGAGGAGGAGACAAAGTGGCAGATTACGGGCCTGGCAGCAGGAATGGGAGGCCCGTAATCTGGGGCCAGCACCCTATGACAAAATGGAACACACCAGCAGTGTGAGGAGACCTGAAAGTGGCAAGGGCAGAGGTGTGGACCGATGGCAGGACCTGGCAGCAGCAAGGGGTGGGCGTATGAGGAGGGACCCGTAATGGCACTCTGGACAAAAAATGAGGGGCTGGAGGCAGCAGCAATGGGAGGCCGTACAGGGGCCCATGGCCATTACAGGGACCTGGCAGCAGCATGGGAGGGCCCGTAATCTGCCAGCATGGAAAAATTGGACGGGCACCAGCAGTGTGAGGAGCCTGAAAGTGGGGCCCGTGTGGCTGGAGACAGCAGCAATGGGAGGCCGTACAATGGACCCATGAGACCAGCAGTGACCTGGCAGCAGCATGAGGAGGGCACAGTGGGGGCCCATGGCAGCGACGGGCCTGGCAGCAGCAATGGGAGGCCCGTAATCTGCCAGCACCCTATGACAAAAAATGGAACACACCAGCAGTGTGAGGAGACCTGAAAGTGGCACATGGCAGAGTGTGGCGATGGAGACAGCAGCAATGGGAGGCCGTACAGGGCCCATTTGTGCAGGAATGCGAGGGACCTGGCAGCATCATGAGGAGGCGGTACAGGGGCCCATGGCAGATTAGGGGCCTGGCAGCAGTGCAATGGGAGGCCCGTAATCTGCCAGCACCCTATGACCAAATGGCACACCAGCCTGTCCGCTGAAAGGGAAAATGCACCATTTCACTGTACAATAATTCCTGAGCACCAATGGGGATCCTCTACAGGGGCCATGGCATGGGAGGCCTGTCAGCAATGGGAGGCCCATGTGCGCACCCTTGAGACAAAATGGAACACGGGCAGTGCAGAGGGACCTGAAAGTTAACAGCACATTTGCAGAGTGTGGCGATGGAGACAGCAGCAACAGGGAGACGCGTACAGGGACCCATGAGAGACTGCTGACCACGCAGCAATGAGGTGGCCTCCTCAAAGGGCCTGAGCAAGCGGCATGGCCTGGCAGCAGCAATGGAGGCCCGTAATCTGCCAGCACATCTAAGTGACACAAAAAATGGAACCACCAGCCGCTGTGAGGAGACCTGACAGTGGCAGGAATGGCATCTGTGGCGATGGAGACAGCAGCAATGTAAAGGCCGTACAGGGAACCCATGAGAGACTCTGGACTTCCACTTGGCAGCAAGCATGCATGAGGAGTCGGTACGGGGCCCATGGCATGAGATTACGGGCCTGGCAGCAGCAATGGGAGGCCCGTAATCTGCCAGCACCCTATGACAAAAAATGGAACACACCAGCAGTGTGAGGAGACCTGAAAGTGGCACATGGCAGAGTGTGGCGATGGAGACAGCAGCAATGGGAGGCCGTACAGGGACCCATGAGAGACTCTGGGACCTGGCAGCAGCATGAGGAGGCGGGGGTACAGGGGCCCATGGCAGATTACGGGCCTGGCAGCAGCAATGGGAGGCCCGTAATCTGCCAGCACCCTATGACAAAAAAACAACACACCAGCAGTGTGAGGAGACCTGAAAGTGGCACATGGCAGAGTGTGGCGATGGAGACAGCAGCAATGGGAGGCCGTACAGGGACCCATGAGAGACTCTGGACCTGGCAGCAGCATGAGGAGGCGGTACAGGGGCCCATGGCAGATTACGGGCCTGGCAGCAGCAATGGGAGGCCCGTAATCTGCCAGCACCCTATGACAAAATGGAACACACCAGCAGTGTGTGAGGAGACCTGAAAGTGGCACATGGCAGAGTGTGGCGATGGAGACAGCAGCAATGGGAGGCCGTACAGGGACCCATGAGACACTCTGGACCTGGCAGCAGCATGAGGAGGCGGTACAGGGGCCCATGGCAGATTACGGGCCTGGCAGCAGCAATGGGAGGCCCGTAATCTGCCAGCACCCTATGACAAAAAATGGAACACACCAGCAGTGTGAGGAGACCTGAAAGTGGCACATGGCAGAGTGTGGCGATGGAGACAAAGAATGGAGACAGCAGCAATGGGAGGCCGTACAGGGACCCATGAGACACTCTGGACTGGCAGCAGCATGAGGAGGCGGTACAGGGGCCCATGGCAGATTACGGGCCTGGCAGCAGCATGGGAGGCCCGTAATCTGCCAGCACCCTATGACAAAAAAATGGAACACACCAGCAGTGTGAGGAGACCTGAAAGTGGCACATGGCAGAGTGGCGATGGAGACAGCAGCAATGGGGGCCGTACAGGGACCCATGAGAGACTCTGGACCCTGGCAGCAGCATGAGGAGGCGGTACAGGGGCCCCATGGCAGATTACGGGCCTGGCAGCAGCAATGGGAGGCCCGTAATCTGCCAGCACCCTATGACAAAAAAAATAACAACACACCAGCAGTGTGAGGAGACCTGAAAGTGGCACATGGCAGAGTGTGGCGATGGAGACAGCAGCAATGGGAGGCCGTACAGGGACCCATGAGAGACTCTGGACCTGGCAGCAGCATGAGGAGGGGAGGGGGTACAGGGGCCCATGGCAGATTACGGGCCTGGCAGCAGCAATGGGAGGCCCGTAATCTGCCAGCACCCTATGACAAAAAATGGAAACACACACCAGCAGTGTGAGGAGACCTGAAAGTGGCACATGGCAGAGTGTGGCGATGGAGACAGCAGCAATGGGAGGCCGTACAGGGACCCATGAGACACTCTGGACCTGGCAGCAGCATGAGGAGGCGGTACGGGGGCCCATGGCAGATTACGGCCTGGCAGCAGCAATGGGAGGCCCGTAATCTGCCAGCACCCTATGACAAAAAATGGAACACACCAGCAGTGTGAGGAGACCTGAAAGTGGCACATGGCAGAGTGTGGCGATGGAGACAGCAGCAATGGGAGGCCGTACAGGGACCCATGAGAGACTCTGGGACCTGGCAGCAGCATGAGAGGCGGTACAGGGGGCCCATGGCAGATTACGGGCCCTGGCAGCAGCAATGGGAGGCCCGTAATCTGCCAGCACCCTATGACAAAAAAATGGAACACACCAGCAGTGTGAGGAGACCTGAAAGTGGCACATGGCAGAGTGTGGCGATGGAGACAGCAGCAATGGGAGGCCGTACAGGGACCCATGAGAGACTCTGGACCTGGCAGCAGCATGAGGAGGCGGTACAGGGGGCCCATGGCAGATTACGGGCCTGGCAGCAGCAATGGGAGGCCCGTAATCTGCCAGCACCCTATGACAAAAAAATGGAAACACACCAGCAGTGTGAGGAGACCTGAAAGTGGCACATGGCAGAGTGTGGCGATGGAGACAGCAGCAATGGGAGGCCGTACAGGGACCCATGAGACACTCTGGACCTGGCAGCAGCATGAGGAGGCGGTACAGGGGCCCATGGCAGATTACGGGCCTGGCAGCAGCAATGGGAGGCCCGTAATCTGCCAGCACCCTATGACAAAAAAAATGGAACACACCAGCAGTGTGAGGAGACCTGAAAGTGGCACATGGCAGAGTGTGGCGATGGAGACAGCAGCAATGGGAGGCCGTACAGGGACCCATGAGACACTCTGGACCTGGCAGCAGCAGCATGAGGAGGCGGTACAGGGGCCCATGGCAGATTACGGGCCTGGCAGCAGCAATGGGAGGCCCGTAATCTGCCAGCACCCTATGACAAAAAATGGAACACACCAGCAGTGTGAGGAGACCTGAAAGTGGCACATGTTTGGGGCATGATTCATGGCGGATTTAGTCAGTTGTGTCAGGAACTGGTGGTTTGAAATCCAGACTAATCCACGCCTGATTATTTTCACAAACGTGAGTCTCTCCACACTTTGGGTGGACAGTCGTGTCCTCCGCGGAGTTACAATACCTCCTGCCGCACTAAACACGCGCTCCGATGCCACGCTACTGGCCGGGCATGACAGCCTTTCAAGGGCAAATTCAGCTAGTTGGGGCCAAAGGTCAAGTTTCGTTGCCCAGTAGTCAAGGGGATTGTCTACCTCGGTTGGCAGGGTGCTGTCCAAGTAGGCCCAAGCCTGTTGTTTGAGGTCCTGCTCCAGGTCCACCTGATGCTGCTGCTGCTGCTGCGCTGGTTAGTAGTTTCCTCACTGCGCTGGTGAAGAAAGCTACTCATCATCGACTGCAGACTGAGGCAGCCGCTGCTGGTGGAGCTGCCACTGCTCCTACCACCCCACCCCTCCCCTGCTGCCATGGCAGCGGAACGCGAGCGCACAGGGCCCACAGTGTCTGAGGATGGACGTTGGCGCAGAAAGGCAGAGACCAACTGACTACATAGGTGGTTTTTATAGTACGTTATTTTGGCCTCCCTCTCAGCAGGTGTGAAAAAGGCCACCATTTTTGAACGGTAGCGAGGGTCCAACAAGGTGGACAGCCAAAAGTCATCCCTCTGTCTGATGGTTATTATTCGGCTGTCGCTACGCAAGCAACCGAGCATGCTATGGGCCATTTGTGCCAAGGAATGCGAGGGACTCCTCCCTGCCTCCATCTCCACAGCATACTGCCACGGTGCGTCTGGGTCCTCTGTCTCCTCCTCCTCCCTCTACCAGATGCTCCTGCTCCTCCACTCCTGTCCGCTGAGTGGAAAAACCACCCATTTCACTCAATAATTCCTGAGCACAAATGTCCTCCTCTACCTCCTCCTCTTCTTCCTGTCCTGCCCCCACAGGGGTCATGTGGCGTTGAGATCTGTGCGCCACGTCTACCGCACCCTGACCAGCCATTGTTAACAGCATTTGTTCCAGGACGTGCAACAGAGGAATGACGTCGTTCATCCCATAGTCCTGCCGACTCACGAATAGCGTGGCCTCCTCAAAGGGCCTGAGCAAGCGGCAGGTGTCACGCATGAGCTGCCAATGGCTGACATCGAAGTTACACAGGGGAGTACCTTTATCCGCTTGTAACATCAGGAAATCGGTGATGGCCTTTCGCTGTTCGTAAAGGCGGTCTAACATGTGTAGGGTTGAATTCCACCTTGTTGCAACGTCGCAGATCAGGCGATGCTGTGGAATTCCGTTCTGCCGCTGCAGCTCAAGGAGGGTGTGCTTTGCGGTGTAGGAATGGCTGAAATGCATGCAAAGTTTACGTGACATTTTAAGGATGTCTTGCAGTGGGATGGTGGATTTTAGGAACCGCTTGACAACCAGATTGAACACGTGAGCCATGCATGGCGCATGGCACAACCTTCCTTGACGCAGAGCAGACACCATGTTCTTTCCGTTGTCGGTCAACATGGTTCCGATTTTCAGTTTGCGCGGAGACAGCCATCTGTCGATTTCTCTGTTCATTACACTCAGAAGTTCCTCCCCTGTGTGACTACGTTCGCCAAGGCATACCAGGTGCAGCACAGCGTGACACCGTTGCGCCCTGCACATGTGATATGCCGTGGGTAATGGGACTTGGCACGGGGGGTGGCGGCTGAGGACACGGCGGAAGAAGAGGTGGTAGAGGCGGACATCTTTGCTGGACCAAGGACGTGCAAACGTGGAGGCAAAAGCGGCGTGACCTGTCCAAGTTGCTGGTGCGGCTGTGCCGGCACCACGTTCACCCAGTGGGCCGTAAATGACATGTACTGTCCCTGACCGTAGTTACAGCTCCACACGTCGGCGCTGCCGTGCACTTTGGCAGAGACCGACATGCTCAAAGACTGGCCCACCATCTCTTCTACATGTGAATGCAGGGCTGGCACTGCCTTTTTGGCGAAGAAATGCCGGCTTGGCACTCTCCACCGCGGCGCGGCACAAGCCATCATTTCTCGGAAAGGTGCTGAGTCCACCACTTGGAAAGGGAGGGACTGCAGCACCAGCAACTTGGACAGGAGGACGTTCAGCTTTTGCACCGTCGGGTGCGTGCTCGCAAACTGTTGTCTCTTGGAAACGGATTCCAAGAAAGACTGCTGACGGAATCCGTGAAGAGGAGTAGCAGGAGAAGGAGCATCTGAACGAGCGGAAGATGCCAACGAGCGACAACCCCCCTCAGCAGAGGTGTTGGAGCCTTGACTGGCTGATAGAGGGCGATTGACGTCGGGTGACGGAGCAAGTAACGGAGCGGGTGATGGAGCGGGGGCTGGGGCAGGCAGAACACCGCCGTATCTTTATCACGGTTTTCCCAGGCCACCAAATGGCGACGCTGCATATGCTGACGCAACGCTGTAGTCCCAACATGGGCCCCCTGGCCACGCTTGACTTTCTGGCCACATAGTCGACATACGGCTACGTTTACTTCCTCGGGCGGCTTGACGAAAAATTGCCACACCGCCGAGTAGGAAACTTTTGCCCCCGCTACTCCTCACTGGCTGACTGCTACTTCCTCCGTGCACACCGGCACCACTACTGGCCGTGGTGGTAGGCTGCAGTGGAGCTGGTGCTCTACTCCGTGGCCGTTTGCCTCCACTGACACTGCTGCGACCCTGCTGCCTCCTGGGCAACCCACCGACTGTTTTGCTCGCTGCCAAGCTGGCACCCTCTTCTCCTGATGATGCGGAAGCAATAGCCTGATGACGACGAGGCTGCCAAGTGCGATCAGCCTCATCATCATCAATTAGGGTCTCCGCCTCACTACTAGCCCCCTCGGCTGCGTGTGTGGGTCAGGAGACAGACCTGTCTCTAGACCGGCTACCGAGCCACTCTCCTCGCCAGTACTTCTTCGCCTGGCTGCTGAAGAGGCGGATGTCTCCCCCCGTTCCTGACCGCCCTCTGTTAGCTCTTCCTCACTGTACAGTGGGGCTGAGCCCACAGCATGCGATACTTCGCTTGGTGAGGGAACACCAAAGGACAGGGGCAGGTAGAGGACACGTGATTTCAGTGGGCTTGCTCCCGGGCCATGCCAACTAACGGTTGTGTCTGACGTACCCACCGACCGTTGGCTGTAGGTGTCAGAGGTGACCTGGGAAGAGGAAGACGACCGAGCCAACCAATCGATGACGGCAGGGTTGTCGGTGGAGACACGACCGCTGGATGACACCGGGAGCACTGGCCTCTGGCTGCGACTAGTGCTGCCTCGACCCCTTCCTCTGCTGCCACGTCTGCTCGCTCCTAAAACATTGCCTCCTCTGCCACTCCTCTGCATGTTGTCTGACATACTCTTTAATTCAACGATTCTGTGTCCCTGAGTAACAATTCTGTGTCCCTGAGTAACAATTCTGTGTCCCTCTCAGTAACAATTCTGTGTCCCTGAGTAACAATTCTGTGTCCCTGTCCCTGAGTAACAATTCTGTGTCCTCAGTAAACAATTCTGTGTCCCTCTGTAGTAACAATTCTGTGTCCCTCAGTAACAATTCTGTGTCCCTGAGTAACAATTCTGTGTGTCCCTCAGTAACAATTCTGTGTCCCTGAGTAACAATTTCTGTGTCCCTGTCCCTGAGAGTAACAATTCTGTGTCCCTGAGTAACAATTCTGTGTCCCTGAGTAACAATTCTGTGTCCCTGAGTAACAATTCTGTGTCCCTGAGTAACAATTCTGTGTCCCTGAGTAACAATTCTGTGTCCCTCAGTAACAATTCTGTGTCCCTCAGTAACAATTCTGTGTCCCTGAGTAACAATTCTGTGTCCCCCTGAGTAACAATTCTGTGTCCCTGAGTAACAATTCTGTGTCCCTGAGTAACAATTCTGTGTCCCTGAGTAACAATTCTGTGTCCCTGAGTAACAATTCTGTGTCCCTGAGTAACAATTCTGTGTCCCTGAGTAACAATTCTGTGTCCCTGAGTAACAATTCTGTGTCCTGAGTAACAATTCTGTGTCCCTCAGTAACAATTCTGTGTCCCTGTAACAAATTTCTGTGTCCCTCAGTAACAATTCTGTGTCCCCTGAGTAACAATTCTGTGTCCCTGAGTAACAATTCTGTGTCCTGTCCCAGTAACAATTCTGTGTCCCTGAGTAACAATTCTGTGTCCTGAGTAACATTCTGTGTCCCTGAGTAACAATTCTGTGTCCCTCAGTAACAATTCTGTGTCCCCTGAGTAACAATTCTGTGTCCCTGAGTAACAATTCTGTGTCCCTCTGAGTAACAATTCTGTGTCCCTGAGTAACAATTCTGTGTCCCTGAGTAACAATTCTGTGTCCCTGAGTAACAATTCTGTGTCCCTGAGTAACAATTCTGTGTCCCTGAGTAACAATTCTGTGTCCCTGAGTAACAATTCTGTGTCCCTCAGTAACAATTCTGTGTCCCTCAGTAACAATTCTGTGTCCCTGAGTAACAATTCTGTGTCCTGAGTAACAATTCTGTGTCCCTGAGTAACAATTCTGTGTCCCTGAGTAACAATTCTGTGTCTCCCTGAGTAACAATTCTGTGTCTGTCCCTGAGTAACAATTCTGTGTCCCTGAGTAACAATTCTGTGTCCCTCAGTAACAATTCTGTGTCCCTCAGTAACAATTCTGTGTCTGTCCCTGAGTAACAATTCTGTGTCCCTCAGTAACAATTCTGTGTCCCTCAGTAACAATTCTGTGTCCCTGAGTAACAATTCTGTGTCCCTGAGTAACAAATTCTGTGTCCTGAGTAACAATTCTGTGTCCCTGAGTAACAATTCTGTGTCTGTCCTGGAGTCCTCAATGTGTCCCTCCAGTAACAATTCTGTGTCCCTGAGTAACAATTCTGTGTCCCTGAGTAACAATTCTGTGTCCCTGAGTAACAATTCTGTGTCCCTGAGTAACAATTCTGTGTCCCTCAGTAACAAATTCTGTGTCCCTCAGTAA